AGCATAAGGACCTGAGTTCGGTCCCCAGTACCCAAAACAAAACAAAACAAAAAGAACAACAACAAAAATTAGTATATGTATTACCAAAGCAGGCAAGTAACTCAGTTGTTAAATGAGGAAGTCTGTATAGTTGAGGGTGGCCTTAAACATGGTGAGCCTCCTGCCTTAGCCTCCAGAGTGCTAAGATTATAGGCATGCCCCACTGCACCTGGTTTTTGTTGATGTGGTTGGGTTTTGTTTGTTTGGGTAGTTTGTTTGTTTGTTTTACTTTTTTTTTTTTTTTTTTTTTTTTGCGTCCTTGGGCTTGCTTTCGAGGCAGACAGCGGAACCACTGAGCCAAATCCCCGGCCATGTTTGTTTTACTTTTTGAGACAGGGTCTCACTATGTAGTTCAGTCTTGCCTTGAATTCAGTATATAGCCCAGGTTGGCCTTGAACTCGAAGTGATCCTCCTGGCTCAGCCTCCCAAGTGCTGCAGTTACAGGTGTGTCACCACACCAAGCTTTTCCAGGTTCTTAATGTCCTAAGCAAAGAATTGAACAGGGCATCTAAGAGTAGCTGTAAGATCAAAGATTTATATGCTTGTGTCTGTGGAGCTGCACCAGCAGGGTTCTGGTCTCCAACTCATGCAGAGGCTGGAAGATCTGGGTGTGTTAGGTCCTGGACTGTACATGCTAAGGAATGCTGGTGTGACTGCAGTAGTGGTGGCAAGAGGGGCTGTTTCCCTGTCCCCCTTTCCAGTCCTCACGGATTCCTGCTTGGGTCACCTCTCACCCGAGATCAAGAGAAGGTGCTGGAAACACGGACCTTGCTCCTTCTGAGGAGTGTGCCTTCCTTGCAGGACCTGTGTCGGGGGGTGCAAATGCCCGTGTATGACAGAGCATGGACGTAGCTTGGCACGGGTCAGAGAGGAGGGAGAATGTGACAGAAGGCCCAAGTATCCTATTCTTTCTACAGGTCAGAAATGGTTCTTTGTTGGGGGTGTAGATCAATGGCAGAGCATTTATCTGGTCTGTGTTAGACCCTGGTTCAATTCCAGGCACACACACACACACACACCCTGGAAACTGTAAGGTCCAACAAAGGTGGTTCCCATCTATTCTTGGGATCATGGGTGAAGGGCCTGGGTTCCCAGCCTGTGATGCTCTGGAGGTTTCCACTTACCTAGGACTCAGGGTAAAAAAGGATCAGGCCTAGTGATCCCAACTCTGCACCTCTTCACATCTCTAGGATGGAGGCAGTTGGGTTAATTATACAAGGGCCAGTGTGTGGCTTGTATCTGGTTTCCCCCCAAAGCCTCATGGGCTCACAGGTGGGCTTTTAGGAGATGGCTGGGCTTAGGGTGTTTGAATATGGATTTAGGGTGTGTGATAACTAAATTAGTCCACTGATTGGTTTAGCATGGCTCTAATTGTGTCTGAATGGATTTACTGAAAAGGGAAGCCCCACCCTGAGTGAAGGTGGCACCAACCTTACATACAGGCTTGTACCCTGTATGGAATATAAAGGGATGGAAAGAAGGCAGGCTCACTGCTTGCTGCTTTTGCTGCCTGCTGCCAGCTGGACTGTTTCTCCTCTGTGATGTCCCTCTGCCGTGCCGCCCTGCTTTGGAGTCTGTCTATTGAATATGGGCTGTAACCTCTCCTTTAACTTGTGGATGTCGGGTATTTTGTCCCAGCAATGAAGTCTAAAATAGCTGATCAAAAAACATGATGTGGGTTTACATTTTTAAAAAAGTATTACAGTTAAAGTCAAATTTCCATTAACCCACTCAGTGCTCTTCTCTTTGAACAAACACCTCCTGAAACAGCTCTGGAAGTCCTCTTTCATAAGTGTCTTTAATTGTGCTGTTGTGGGTGCTTCAGTGTTCTGAATCAGTTTATAACCTTTCATAGTCACTTTGACTTTGGGGAAAAGCCACAAGCTGCACAGTGCTAGATCCAGTGAATAAGATGGATGAGGACACATTGTAATGTTTTTATTTGGCAGAAATTGCTGTAAACATTTTTAACTGATTCAGAACATCAAGGCAGCCACAAAAAAAGAGTCACAAAAGACTTCCAAACTGGATGTGGTGGCACAAGCCTATAATTCCAGCCCTTGGGAGGCTGAGGCATGAGGATTGCCATGAGTTTGATGCTAGCCCGAGCTACATAAGGAGCTCAAAGCCAGCCCAAACTACATAGCAAGACCCTGTCTCAAAAAACAAAAACAGGGCCAGGGATTTAGCTCAGTGACACTGTGCCTGCCTGCCAAGTGCAAGGTCCTGAGTTCAATCCTTATAATGGAAAACAAAACAAAGTAAAACTTGCAACAAACAAACAAATGAAAAAGGACTTCCAGAACTGCTTTAAAAAGTTGCAAGAATGATGGGATGAGTATATCTGAATCAAAAGAGAAATTTTTTTTTTTTTTGTATCGGGGATTGAACTCAGGACCTTGCACTTGCAAGGCAAGTGGCAGAATCACTGAGCTAAATCCCTGGCCCTAAAGGAGAATATTTTGAGGGAGATTAATGGCAAAGTATCTTTTACTGTAATAAATTTTTAAAAATTGTAAAATATTGGGCCAGGGATTTAGCTCAGTGGTGCCACCACCTGCCTCAAAAACAGAAGGTCCTGAGTTCTATCCCCAGTACAAAAAAATAAAAAAATTGAATATCCACATATCTTTTTAACACACCATGTACAAAAGATCAGTATGAAAGAAATGGACAGGTGGGTCACTTTGCCATCTGGCTGCAGGGCACACGTCCCCACCCTCAGCTTCTGTACAAGAGGTGGGGGTGCTCTCGAGAAGGTGACGAGCTACTTCACAGAGACCTGCAAGTCCAGTGACCTCGCCGGTCACCCGGTGTGGCAGGGCAAGGCCAGGGCAGGAATGTGTCTGCCTGGCGAGGTTGGGGCGGTGTCCATGTCCACAGGGTACGGAAGACACAGCGGGGATTCCAGGCGTGTGGGCCCCAGGGAAATGGACAAGGAGCAAGTGTCAGGGCTGAGACGGGCAGGGGCTCCGGGCTGCACCATTTGAGCCTTGTGATTCTCTTTCAGGACCAGTCATGCTGAGCAAAGGATGAGCAGAGTGTTTGTGACAGGTTATGGCCGTATCTCTGAGATATGCCGCACAAAGCGAAGCGAAGGTGGCATTCGATGGCCTGAGCTCAGCACGCTGGATGCTTTGTTTCCAGGGCTCAAGGATGTCACCTGTAGCAGGTTCTTCCTAGGAGTGCAGGGAGGTCAGCGGGGTCTGGGTGAGAGAGTAGGGCTCCACCACAGCCCTGGATTCCTCACCCTTGCTCTGAGTGTCCTGCGGTGATCTTAACCCTCCTCATGCTTCCTGCTTCTTTATAGACCTTGACTCCATCCCTGAGATTCTCCTGGTGCCCCACCTGCAATCTCCGGCAGGCCTGGCCTGTTGCTCTGCCCCTTACCTCTCTAATCTGTAACAAAAGTTACTCTAACAAATTAAATCCTTATCTCTGGCTTTTGCTCATTTCTTTGTTTTTGGACACAGTGTCTTGCTATTTTGCCCAGGCTGGGTTCGAACTCAGGGTCTCAAGCTACGCTCCCACCCTTTTCCCAAGTACACGGTGGTCTCTTAATTGCTTACACAGAAACTCCTGGACCTGTGCCCATGATCAAGTCCCAAGTGCAGGGCAGAGGACGGGCCACTACTCAGTCCAGAATGGAGGCAGAGGGCTTGAGGCCTCATCCCGTCTGGAACCAAAGGGCCCCTCAAGGGGCCCCTCCAGTTGTTTTTGAGGCAGAAGAGCCCCCACTCCTTTCCCACTTCCTGTCTCAGGCTGTTTCCCACTCAGGGGTGTTTGGCAGCACCCAGAAGCTGCAGAGGTCGAGGTAGGGTGGGGTGGGGCCCTGCCCTGACTGTCCTGGGGTCCAGGAAGGAGGTGGAGGACCCAAGCACCAGGCCTGTGGGAGAGAACTTCAGTGGGAGGTGCCTGACACAGGGGCCCTGGAGTTGGTGGCCAGGGCTTGGGAGCCTGCAGACCTGGGGATACCCCTTCTCCTCTCCAATCCTTCCCAAAGGGATGAAATCAGATGGGGGTGGTGAGACAGGGTCTCACTATGTAATTGAGACTGACCTGGAACTCACTATGCAGCCCAGGCTGGTCTGGAACTCACGGCGATCCTCCTGCCTCAGCCTCCCAAGTACTGGGATTATAGGCATGCACCACCATGCCCGACTTCTCAAAATTTGTAAAGAACAAAAGTGCTAAGGATGTAGCTCAGGTTAAAAGCATTGGGTTCAATCCCCAGTATGTGTGTGTGGTGGGTGCCAAAGCAGCTGAGAAACAGGCTTAGAAGTTTTTCTCATCTGATTTTTATGAGAAGTCAGCTGAGTTAGTGACAGGAAGGCAGCTGAGATTGCCTGGTGGCTGGCAAGGAGGGGTGGGCAATGCCCAAACCAACATGGGTCGAAAGGGTCAAGGATGACAGCCTGCCTTGGCATGTGGGCAGGTTCTGTTTACCTGTTGCCCTTTCAGCTTGAAACACTTATTAAACTTCCAGGATGAGAGGTTCCCACAATAATTCAGAGCCTGAGACTCAACGTTTCCTTCCATCTTCATCAGTTTAAAGAGTCTCATCTAGATTGTGCACAGTGCATTGGACAGTACAGACTCTGGAGCAAAACGAAGTCCATGGTGGATTCCTGAACCTTCCCCCAGGTTCGTGTCATTACCGGACACCTTCCCCACACAGGGCGAGAGGACACGCTGATGGGGAGGAGGGAGGAAGGCAGGCGTGGCACGGAAGGAAGGGTGACTGATGCACTCTGGTGAACTTAAAAAAGGGTCTGGAGCGTAGCTCTGTGGTAGAGCACTTGTCTAGTATGGGGAAGCCCTGAGTTCTGTCCCCAGCAGCCCTCAAAAAGGAGAGTGTGTGTGTGCATTTTGTTTTTGTTTGTTTGAGACAGGGTCTCATTGTGTGGTCCAGGCTAGATTTGAACTCACTGTATAGCCTAGGTTGGCCTCGAACTTGGGCAATCTTCCTGCCTCAGCCTTCTGAGTGCTATGATCACAGGCATGTGCCACCACGCAGAAACCAGAAACCACTTTCGAGAAGGCCGATTTACTTTGCATATGAAATGCATTCCTGAGGGGAAAAGGCTTTGGATGGGGGACAGAGGGAGGCAGGTGTGATGGGGACATCTTAGAAGGGACACCTTGGAAGTGACACGTGGGGCCGGGGTGCCAGGCGGCGGCCACTGTTAGTACAGTGTCTCCCGTGCGTGGGTCCTCAGGTGGCGCAGCAGGTGCGAGTTGCGGCTGAACCCTCGGCCACACTGCGCACAGGAGTAGGGCCTGGCCCCCGTGTGCACTAGGAGGTGGCGGAGCAGGTTGCAGCTGCGGCTAAAGGTCTTGCCGCACTCGTGACACTCCTGGGGGGCCTCGACCTCCTGCGCCCGCCCTGCATGCGTGACCAGGTGGCGCTGCAGGTGGGCGTTCCGCCGGAAGCTGCGGTCGCAGGTCGGGCAGCTGTACGGCC